GGCGGCTTACAGCCAGTTTAAAACAATGATATAATACAATACAAAATTTAAAAAGATTAAAAATAACTATTTAAATTTGGCCGCTTCTACTAAAAATTTAATTTAAAACCCCTTTAAAATACCCCTAGGCCAGTCCTGCCTGCTGAAATAACCAGGTCTTAAGGGCGCGGCGGAAGGAGGGGAGATCCGGGATCACCCAAACTCTCAGAGAATTAACAACCGACCTTGACTGCTAACACAGCAAAGTAATGATTCTCAACCTTGGCAACTTTTAAGATCTGTGGACTTCAGTTCCCAGAATTCCTTAGCCAGTAGGGTGAAACCACTGATTGAAGGAGAGGGAGCCCCTCCAGGGGGAGGAAAATAACTTTTTTCAGCATGGAGTTGATTCGAGGGAGGACACATCTGAGCTCAAACCCTTATGTCTGTTTTTGCTATTTTCCAAGGGAAGGCAGTCAGTCTGGCGAGATTCTTGTAAAGAGGTGTTTGACAATAAAAGAATGCTTTGGCCTATTCATGAAGTTGTTTTGGTTACTTCATGCTGGTTGGAGAATTCTGGGAATTGAAGTCCACTGATCTTAAAGTTGTCAAGGTTGAAAAACACTGTTGCAAAGTATTGTTTCAAATTTTCAGAAAATAATTAGAAACAATAGCCCAGAGTTTTATTTGATAATGCACATGTGAGACCATACATAACTGGGCTGAACTGAGACAATAGTATGACAAAACGACATAAAAGAGGAAAACTCTCTTTTTTTCTGGAAATAAGAACAGTAAGTTTTTAATCCCTGTAAGTTTCCACTTGCTTCCTGACACAACTGTCAGATTCTGGGACGCTTGCCTTTTTCAAATAAAGATTGAATCTGATTCGCTGATGTATCACTGATGTCATAAACTATTCCGTAACGGTTGACATTCATGCTAAAGACTGGATAGGCAGAAACTGATATTAAGGAGGTAGAAATAAAAAACATGATCTCCTCAACCTCAACTCAACTAAGTTCCCCCATGGACAGTTCCATCTCAGAGTCAACCTCAGCTTCCAAGGTACAGAAAAATGGTGGAAATAAAGCCAGTAGCTCGAAAGAACTTTGCATATACTCAATTATTTAAACGTCGGCTTTCTTAAGCTGATATACAGAAACCCAGACCTAGAGCAAAACCATTCCTAAGGTAGTTTATAACAGTACAATTATGCTGAGAAACGGACAGGTAGCATTGGAAGCATTGGTGCATATTACCAGATTAGGATGTGCCTCTCCTATCACCTCCTCCAAGCATTAACAAGTTTTTTTTCAATAAGCTGATAGCATAAAGCAAGAATTAAATTTGGACTCGCATCTGTATGGAAAGCCAACAAAATTACAGTTAGGTAAGGAATGGTTGAAAAGTATTAATAGCTACCGAAATTCTTACTCTGTTGATCGAGCTTTCCTGTAGGCTGCTATTTTAGATTGAATCAGTTCTGAAGATCTATTTGTACTCAGAGAGATACTTCCCTCTGAAGCACTGGTCATGTTCATAAATTCTTGTTATTTCTCTGTTGAAGTAGAGCCAATAAAAAGCAGATAGCTGCTTGGCTTACTGCTTTTCTTGAGCTTCTTGTGCATCACTTTTGTGTATCGTCTAATTATTACAAAACAAAAAGAAATCATGACATACATTAATGTGATTTTAGCTGCTGTCACTGTGGTTTAGCCAATAGGAAATATCTACATATAAATTTAATAGGCAAGGAAATTGATCCAGATGAGTGCTTGCTGAATTTCCAATAGATTTTTGTAAAAACTTCAATATTTAAAATTATGCTGGCAATTACCAGGTTCTCTCAGCTTGTAAGACAAAATACTGCAAAAATATATTTGCCAGGATCCAAAGGTACAGATAAGCATATTATAATAAAACTATGAAGCCATTACAAAAGAATTCCAACAACTGCTATATAGCAAATGCGAGCTCTATTTACACTATGATCAATGTTCAGTTCTTGTGGTTCTTTTAATAAAGGGCTAAAGTGATGTTTTCAATATAAGTTGCAAATTCCCTCCGTACTTTGCTTTGATCTAGTACTAGTTTACTGTCTAGTAATAGGTGGCTTAGTTTTGAGAATGAGATGGTTCACAGAAAGTTCCTACTCTGCAAAAGCAGAGAATTCTTGACAAACAGACAAATATTTCTTCACAACTATCAGAGAAGACCACAAAAACAGGGGTCTCTTGACACAACAATAGAAGGAAGGAAGGAAGGAAGGAAGGAAGGAAGGAAGGAAGGAATAGCAATCTGTCTTCAGACTCTACCAATATCCTGTGTAACAACGATCCTACTGTAGTTTGGCAAACTGTGAGGAATGAAAATTGCCAAGGAGCTGGAATACAGAAATTGGTAGAACTTGCTGGCAATGAAGAAATAGTTCAACTCAAAGCATGGTGGATCTCCAAAACTGTATCCTGCAAAATAGATTACATTGAGTTGTAGTCGACATAGAAATAAGTAGGCTGATCTCAATTTTGATGAAAACATCAACTTGAGGACTCTCAACTTTTAGCTTTTCTCCATGAGGCCATGGTTTGATGGCCAACCTCAGATGATCACACAAATAGCTAGAAACAGACTTGCTTGAGGGACATTGCAGAGCTGCAGTCCAGATTGGGAAATGAAGGCCTACTCCAGAAGGCAAACCTTTTATTTGCCAAGAAAACTCCATAGATATCTATGAAGTCACTTGGAGTCAACCTCAACTGAAAGGAAATTTCTTTTCTTTTTTTCTCCAGAATTTAGTGGGCTATTTGTGGGGGCGTGATCAAAAACTATGCAAAAGGAGAAGGTGCTAATATACGGAAGTCATTGAGTTTAGATCAGGGGTCTTCAAACTTGACCCTTTTAT